TTTTAAAAAATTAATTTCATGACTTATAGATAAATAAACATATAAAAATTGATAAATAATTTATAAAGATTAATTTCGTGGCCTACAGATAAAGATAAAGATTAAATAATTGATCTTAGAAAAATTAAAATAATAGAATTTAGATAAAGATAAGATTTATTAATCTATATCTATCAAAAACATATATATGTAAATTTTTATTTTGATTTACTCTTTTTTTTTTTTTCTCCTTCCATCACATATTATCATTTTTTTTACTTCAAATTTTTTTATCTTTTGAAATGTCATTATCTATAATTTCTTATCTGCTTTTAAATTCTTAACATTCTCCTCATGATTTTTATTATTCGTTATTATTTATCAAGTGATAAAGATAAAACAAATTTTTTTTTGGTTAGCTCTGAATGAGAAGAATATTAATAATAGGATGATAAAGGCTGCATGGGAGGAAGCAACATAAAAATCTCACAAAATTAATTTTCATCACTATATTTAAATATTAAAAAAAATTAATTTATAAAAATTAATTTCATAATCTAAAAATAAAGATAAAGATTAAATAATTGATTAAAAAAAATAAAATTTAGATAAAGATATATTTATTAATCTATATCTATCAAAATATTTTTGTACTTTCATTTGTTATAGTATTTCTTCAATTTCATCTCTTAATTTAATTAGTCTCTTTGAAATATTTGTTTTTTTAATAATAAAATTTAGAACCAACTTCTTATCAAATTTGTTTTCTTTGTTCTTATCTTATTAAAAGATCAAGACGAATAACACTTTCATACATGAACTTAATGAATATAATACAAAGATAGTAGGGAAATACTACATATTTGTCGATCGCTCTCTATTATTAATTGATTTGCTAGATTATATTATATCCCATATCATTTAATTCAATATCCATAACTTTAGTTGCATTCGACCATTTTTTCGTCGAGTAGCCTATATATTTTTTTTATTAGTATATGATGATTAAAGCTATCATTTGTGATACTTTTACTTCCAATAATCTTTATAATTAACCATTTTTTTATGCATATCCAATTTTATTATGAAATTTTACGGATTAATTATTACTAACATATACTAGGATGGCCTAACATCATGGTTTGCCTCCGTTAAAATATAATTCAAGGTTAAAGATAATTTATTTATCACACAATTGAAGATCTGGACAACTTGGACTTCAATTATAATCCTTCAAGCATTCTCATTTCCACTAAACTCAACAAAGCCCTAATGCAAGCTCCCATTATTGATTGGATTCTAAATATGTGTTCTCTATGAATGGATACACAATATAACTACTCTGTCGTGCTTTTACCAAAGCAGTCGCAATTGCCATAGCCTATTCCATGTTTCGCAATTGCAACTACTTTGGTTTTCAATTAATCCTCAATTTAGCAAATAATTCGATAGACACAAGTAATAAATGGAAGATGCAAATAACAAACAATTGCGAAGGCCTGTACACATTAATAGGTTTGCAACTTCACAGCAGCTCAACACAAAAGCACCAAAAACATGGACTGACAACTAAATATTTCATGATTTCAGCTTTCCAAACATTTTACAGTCAACTACACGAGTAACATAACAAAAGCTAATCGAATGCAAAATTTCAGAATCCTGAATGGACCAAGTAATATTTCAATGCTGATAGACCAAGACTTTCAATCACCCTCAAAATGCTTGGATTTCACAACGTGCAAGAAGAGGTAAACAACATACCTTACTCCACGAGTTTCTTTTTCTTCTTTGATTTCCTGTCATTAGATTGCTCTAAGGACCCAGAAGAAGTAACCACACTATGACCACGTCCTGAGTCTTGAGTAAACTGGTCAATGGACCTAGTTGGCTCCTCAATATGTTCTCTCTTTGGAGGCTTCGATGGCTCCCCTACCTCAGACAAAGAACTTGTATATTTGCTACTAAGCATTGACGCAGCATTGCTGCCAGATGATTTTGAGCTTCTTGGCCTGGTACTTTGAGTATGAGTTGCAAAACGATGGGATGAATTGGTCAAGGAAGTTCCAGAAGATCTCTGATACATCTGCTTCTGATGACTGGTATTCTGTTTCTCAAGTTCACTAGGCTCCGGGTAATGAACAAGGGAAACGCGCCGTGAAATCTTCCCAACTGTCAATGAGATAAGTCAGTCAGCATCATCAAAATGCACTAAAATATTGTTCAAAGCATAGAACTTGATAAAGCAATAGTGAGAAAAAAACCCAACTGCTAGTCTAATTTCCATCATCCTAAAATTTTAACTCAATTTATCAAAATGCTCATTTATGAAGTGGCAGTTTTTTGTCACCCAAAACAACCATATTATTTTAACTCAATTTATCAAAATACCCATTTATGAAGTGGCAGTGTCTAAAACTCAAGATAGAATAACTTGTCTACGTGCCTCTCTATAAAGCATGGATACTTCAAAATGGGAGACGTATACTGATACGCTTTGGACACTCACAAATACATATCGGATACTTATTAAAAGTATCGGATACATCTTAATTATTTTTTCATTAATTTTGGAATATCGGATACTCCAATTCATGTATTACTTCTAATACTTTTGTTTAGTTTTTTGATAAGAACATAGTCAGAATTAAAGTACTCCCTTCGTCCCAAAATAATGGTCCCTTTTGGGGAATCCAACTTTTTTTGGTAGTACAATTATTGCATTTGAAAAAAGTTGATTTTCCAAAATTATCCTTTTGATAGTACATTTTTTGGGAATATCAATGCATAATTGTACTTTTTATGTTGTTTATTAATTTAAAAGAAGGGTAAAATAGGAAATTTATATTATTTTTGTACTTGATTTTTGAAGAGGGACTAATATTTTGGGACAATGAAAAATGGAATAAGGGACTAATATTTTGGGACGGAGGGAGTAATAGAATTCGTCAAATTGATGTATTTTTATTGTTTCATGTATACCCCTATAATTTCATAGAAAACTTGAATACAACATTTTTACTAGTGCCAAAGAGAAGAAAAGAACAAGGAAAAGTTGTGGATTTCTGCTATTGTAGTATAAATATGTTTCATATTGAAATAAAATATTTGCAAGACCTATTGAAAATTTAAAAAATAAATAAGCTACTTACTTAAATTAATACATAATTCTTAAATGTTAGTATTTTGAATTATAAAATTACAATGTGGTTTCTAAACTTTCTTGAACTTAGGTGTAATTCACTATTAATATACATATATTTTACAAACAAATTCTAGCCGTACCCATATCTTATCTTTTAAGATTTAATCGCATCGCCGTACCCGTACCTGTACCCGTATCCATATCTGTATCTGTATCTGTATCTGTATCTGTATCTGTATCTGTATCTGTATCTGTATCTGTATCTGTATCTGTATCTGTATCTGTGCTTCCTAGGTGCCTTTGCTTAGGCTAGGCTCATGACCACAATAACACTAGCCCTAGTAATGACTTAATGCCGAGTTGACTAGCCATTTAGAGATCCTTCTATTTGAGTTGGAGGTGACATCGAACCCACTAGACCAGCCACATGGCGGTGGCTATATAGATACCCACAATTTTCAAGACAATTTCCTCCACCACGAGGATACGTTTTATTTTACTTGATTTAAGTCATCTCTTTTATTATTCATTAAAAAGTTTATCACAAACTATTTTATTATGCCGCGATGGCTGATTTGATGAATGTTACTAAAGGATTGGAAAGCTCAAGGTGTGTCTCATTAGAACCCATAAAACTTATCCATGCATAAAGATTAAAATACATGGGAGCACAGGCATTAGAGATATTGCATGTCACAGTTTCAAAATTGGAGAAAAAATTCTTTTAGCGAGGGAGAATGACATAACTTAGTTTTAGGCATTTCTATGATTTTTTACACTTCTATTTTAGTTAAGTTGTCCTTGCTGCTTTATTCAAGACTATTGTGAAGCCAAAATGTAGTCAATATAGGATTAATCCATTGACACCATAAGTAGAACTATGCATTTGCAACCACAAAAGGGGCATTATCATGCATAAAGAACAAAACAATTCCTCAACCTTGTTATTAAGACTAACACTAAGATAAAATATTTAATTTCAAATAGAAGAACAGGAAAATAAAAAGAGAAAGAAAGAAACTCAGCAAATGCAAGTGCAAGTGCATACCAATTTTTGACTCTGATGCAGATGATAAGAAAACTGTAGCATTTGGAACTTCTGCATTATAACTGACCACATCATATGATTTTCCTGCCATCATGAATGACATTTTCCATGATATAAAGTTTGCTAAAGCTCATATATAATATATTGAACTAGCTATGCCCATATTCAAATCAAGCCACTATCGGAGATTGAAAACAAAAGAAAGCAACCAAAAAGACACAAGATTGTATGATATGTCATTAACAAAATTATACTTGCCAGATGAACCCTCAAAACTTCCCAACAATCCATCATGATGAAGCTTCAGTGACAATTCTTGCCCATCAAAATCAACAGCCTGCAATACCCAAGAACAAACTAATAAACTCAATTCCAGACCAATTTGAAATTCACAAACAACAATGGAAATGCAACATATCAAGTTCACGTTATTTCTTGTGTACTGTTGGCCACTATGGAGGCAAATTCCAGATAGTAAATTTGATTGAACTATGTTGAATTAATAGACAAGCTGATTTTGAGTTGATAAATTGGTGATTCTTCAAATAGAGATATTTTACTTTTCTAAATAGTACTTGCTATTCTTCATTAGATGAAATCTGGGTGTAACCCTTTATAGGTAAAACCATAGATTTGTCTATAACTAGTAAATTACACTGACACTTTCTGAAATTTGCTGCCATTACACTAAATTACACTGACACTTTCAACCGCATTACAGTTTTTCCCTTCATTAGTCAACTAACAAAAAAGCTGATGCCAGCAATTTATTTTTTTGAAAAAATCAATTTTGACCCTAAATCTTCTTTCTCCCTCTCTTCATTGTTCTCCCTCTTTTCCTCCATCTGTCCCTCCATCACAATGCGCTTCCCACAAGTGGCTCCTAACACATCCACCTTCCAACCCTAACAACCATAGTTGTCAAATTGGGATTCGAATCGTGAATTGAAATGGTATTGTACCAAATCACAAATTGAATCGAATCGTGAATCATAAATATTCGGTCACCTTTCTAAATTATATAGAAAAATATATCTACACACTTAGATATTAAATATATCTAATAAATATGAAATATTTAGACTTAAATTAATAAAAATATTGTTTTAAATGATGATCATGTGATCTAGGTAAGAAGTTAACATGGGTTCCCATATTTACCACTTCACCACTTCACATTTTCCCTTTTAAATACTATTTCTTATCAACCATTCTTAATAAAGAAAGCAAACAAAGACAAGCTTTCAATTTCCAAGTAACAATAACTCAACAACAATATTTTTTAACTTTTTACAAGATTAAAAAACCAAAATCTTCAAAAAAAATTCTAAAATCTCACTTGATACCTTCAAAAAATTCGTTTTGTAAATGCAAATACTTAGATAAAATTGAACATGTAAGCCTAGAATATTGTAGAGATAGTTCATTTTTTTGGGCTACGGTTTGAGTATTTGAGAGTAAATAGGGACGGAGAAAGTCAAAAGATGGCATATAGTAATCTTAAAGACCTTAAAAAGGTTGAGTGAACCCTTCTCCAACAATAAAAAAGCGAAAAAGAAAGCCAAACATCGATTTTAGCAATTCACGATTCATCATTTGGTTCACCGATTCACCTACGATTCATAGTTGTTCGCGATTCACATAACCTGTACGTGATTACCCACTAAATTGAATTGAATCGTATGATTCTAATAATAGAGCTAACAACCACCATCACCCCCTCCCCATTGCCACCACCACCCTCCCCTCACACCTCTACCACCACTTTGCTCTCCCACTCCCACCATTGCCATCACCCACCCCCAACCGCCACCTTGCTCTCCTCCTCCGTACCACTCCCAACTGCAACCATCATGCCACACCCACAACTGACACCTCCCACCCCCACCAACAACATCATCTACCTCCAGTCTCGACCATAAAGGTCTCAATCGACTTGACCTCCAGTGGATCTTCCCAAACATGTTTTTCCCTTAGTGGAATTAGCAAATATGTTGTTTTTTCCTTGGCAAAATTAAAATTTTCCAATTTTAGGTGATGATGACAATGAGGGACTGCAATGCAACTAAGTGATTTGGATACATCTTTTTACTTTGATTTGGGAATTGATCTATTGGGAAGAATGATAGCAACCGTAGGAGATGGTATTAAAGGCCATCACACATTTTTTCGTTATATCAGTTAAGAGACAAACATTGATAAGAGAGGTGAGGGTAATTTTTGAAATGTCATTTGAAGATTTTGTATTAAAAGCAAACCCTAAGGGGGATCTCGGTGTAATTAACCTAAAAGCAAATAGGACCACATTGCAATGGCAGTTGATATGTTGTCTCTAATATATGACCGTTTTTGTGAGAGAGAGTTTTTCCACCATTTTTGCCACTATAGATGTCAACATTGTGTTGTTTCACAAGAAGACAATATTTGTATAAGAAGAGATGGACCAAAAGGAACTAAAGAAACATTACTTGATTAATTGGCCATTGAATGAGCCAAAGTTCAGTTGAATCTGTTAAACTAAGATCAATGACTGAATCCTTCACATCCTCCTGAAATTCTGGTGGAGGCCTATCAATGACTTCATCAGCAGTGTCCATTCCTTCACTATACATAGCCAACCAATAAAGTACACATAATTGTAACAATGTCCTTGTCTTTTACAACCTAAAATCAAAGAAATAGGAAGGTTGATGTTGGTTTAAACTTCTCTGTGAATATATATATATATATATATATTGGAGGTTGTTCTTCTAAAATTGAACCTAACTCAGGGCTTTTTCATCAAGTAAACCTAGCAGAAGCTTTTGGCCCCTCAAAGTGGAATGTTTCCCCTTTATACATCTTCTGATTTATTTTTTCACAAAAGGTTTAAATCAATCCCATAGATTCATCTGAATGCAGTTCATCGCAGCAGAGAAAGTTCATTTAATTGGACCATTTAGGAGAATAATAATACTCTGGCTCTATTGGATAAAACCCATAAACAGAGAAACCATAACGTAAATGAATGATAAATATATAAATATTTTAGGGTTCTATTTTTTGAATTGAAACTTACTGTATGAGTCTACTGTTGCATAGGGTGAAATCTTGATGTGGGTTCATTATGCTTGTGATGATCTTTATGATCATTTTTTGTTTTCCTTGGTTACCTCCAGTTAAAAGTTTGAAGCAGTGTTTTAAAAAGCCCTAGGCGCATCGAGGCGCCAAGGTCACCTGGAGCCTGAGCGCCGAGGCGCGAGGCGAGGGGCGCGCCTCTAGGAATGGCAACGGGGCGGGGCGGGGCCGGGGATCACCCTCCCCGTCCCCGATCCCCGATGGCAGAACTTCCCCCCGTCCCCGTCCCCATCCCCGACGGGGAACCCACTACCGCCCCCACCCCCGCCCCCTAACGGGGATCGGGTTTCCCCGACCCCGAAAACTCCCCGACCAAAAGAAAAAAAAAATTTATTTCCATGATTTCTTCAAACTACAACAACAACAATTAAACAGATCTGTCATCAACAACAACAACAATTATTAACAATGTTGTTCATCACCATTAACAATCTCATGAATAATCTCATGAGCTCAAAAATTTCAGATCTAACAAATGTAAATAATAATAAAAAAATTTAGATCTAACAGATTTATTGTTCATCATCATTAACAATCTCATATAATGGTGTCGCTAAAAAGGCTGATGAGTTTGGTAAATACTTTTTTTTTTTTTTGTTAACGTGAAAGTTTGGTAAATCAAGAGCTTAATTAAAGGACTTAATGGCACAAAATTTTAATTCAAGAGCTTAATTAATAAAAATGTAAAGTCATAGCTTTCTCACACAATTTAGGGCTAGCTTGGTTGGTTCATCTTCTTTATATATCTATTTTTCTTTTACATGGTTAAAGTAATTATATATATATATATATATATATATATTTAATGGTAGGAGTTTATCTATAAATATTATAGAATTATATCAAATTAAAAATTAATAGTTTAATAACAAATATGTAGAAAAACCACTACCAAGGAAGCACTGGTGCGGGTACAAGTACGGTACGGGTAAGAGTGCGGGTACGCCGATACGGCAAAATCCCAAAAAAGTATGATACGGATACGGTTACGGTACGCCAATATTTTTTTATTTTTTTTTATAATTATGGTTAAAGGATCCAACCTACAAATTAAAATTAAATATCAAAATATATATTTCAGTGACAAGTATGACAAGAACAAGAACACTACAACACCTTTCAATCTGATTCCCATATTGACCTACAAAGTATCTCTCAATTTTAGTTCATGAAGGACAATGAAACAATAACCAATCATATCCACTCACAACATCAAGCATTGCAAGGAAATTAACCAATGTGGAAACAGACAGATAACTTAACTTAACTCAAAACCAATGGTTATGCATCACAAATTAATGCTCTTTTTTTCAGTTACAAAACCCCCATCCCTCCCCCTCAAAATAAACTGCTATGAAAGAGAATTTAAGGTGTCAAGGGATTTAAATTTGTCATCAAGCTTTACAACCAATATCATATTGCATATATATATGACATATATCAAGAAAAAAAAAAAAAAAAGAGGACAAATCTTAGTTCAACAAATCTAGACAGATTTTAGTTCAAAAATCTGGACATATATCACAAAAATAAATAAATAAATAAGGACAGATCTTAGTTCAACAAATCTGGACAGATTTTTGTTCAAAAAATCTGGACATATATCAGGAAAAAAATAAATAAATAAGGACAGATTTTAGTTCAACAAATCTAGACATATATCAGGAAAAAAAAAAGAGAGTTCAAGAAAAATGAAGAAGAAGAAGAAGAAGATGAAGGATCAAAGAAAGAGAAAACCAAAGAGAAGAGAAGAATCGATCATTTGCAACGAAGAAACAGCACAAAAATCTAGAAAAAAAAAATGAAAGAAAGAGGATAAAGAATCGAAGAAGAAAAGGAGAAAGAATCGAAGATGAACTTACCTCTTCAATCGCACCTTTGAAGGAGAGAATCAATCAGCAGCACCTTCGATTAAACCTTTCAATCGCACCTTCAAAGTGTTCTTCAGACTCTCTTGGAAGTATTTCTGGAAGGAGATGATCGAATAGACATGGAACCCTAGCACCTTCGAAGTTCTTCAGTCTTGGAGTATTTTGGAATGAGATATGTAAGGAGCTAAGATGATGGGAGGTTCTATTTACACACATACATTTCTCTTTTTACACATCCTTCTTAATTTACACACCAAAAAAATAAAAAAATAAAAAAAATAAAATTTACTCATCACACACAATTTTGTTCCAGTTATCTCCCCATACACACACTCCAAATCCACTCCCCTTCTTCCACACCAGCAAGCAACGATCAAACCCTAACCCTAACCCTAGCTAGCAACCACCTTGCCGGCGGTGACGCAGCACCGGCGACGTACCGCGACCTCTCTCTCTCTCTCTCCCCTCTTAGTCGCGAAAAGGAAGGCGACGACGACTCGTAGACGAAAGGCGACGGCGACTCGCAGACGAAAGGGGGTTTCGGATGTCGATGGTCGAACCAATGTGTTTTGTTCGGATGTTGATAGTCGAACCAAATTCATTGGTTCGATGGTTGATTTCCGAAGGGAGGCAATTCTTTCAACACTAGTAGTCCGAATGGTAAGAAAATGAGGCGATTCCACGATGCCCGACAGGGTGGGGAAGAGAGGCAGGAAGGCAATGGATTTGCAGATGAAAGGGAGTTGCAATGGTGGAGAAAGAGGTAACGGCGGTGATGGAGGAAAAGAGAGGCGGCGGCCATAGAGGATGATGGTGACTGATGGTTAGGGTTAGGGTTAGGGTTAGGGTTTTGGTAGTTTGAAGAAGAAAGGGGTATTTTGGTAGTTTCATTTTAGGACTAAAATGTAATTAAAAAAAACTCATTAAGTGTGTGTAAAGAGGGTAAATGGTGTGTGCAAATAGAAGCGAATGATAGAGAGAATAAAGAACCCTAAATTTATTTGGTTTCATGTTTTATTTATTACAAAAAAACCTCAGATTTTTATAATTCTTTAAAATAGACACAAAAAATTGCTCCAATACCCTTTAATTTATAAAAAATTTCATTTTTTTATCCCGGAATACCCAAAACCGTACCCATGGCGTACCCATCAATATACTGACCGTATAAAATGTACCCGGTACACGTGCAGCCGTACCGGTACACGTACCTGCACCCGGGAAGTACCCGATACTTGTACGGTGTAACAACCCTCATACTGTTTACTGATTTATGACTGATTGATTACCGATAATCACCGATTACTGTTAAACGAAACGGATAATGACTGATAACTGACTGATAATTGAACTGATTAAAAGTACTGAACTGACTGACTGAAACTGGAAACCGAATTGATTGAGTATATGTTAGTTAAATTGCATTATATCTGTTTGACTGTATGATTATCTGTTCATGTTCATATGTTTAAACTGCTAATTGAAGGCCCCTCACTGCGAGGTTCCGAGTTGCCATGCTATGGCTTGGGGGGGTTTTGTTTGTTTTCCCCCTTCTGTACTGTTTTACTGTTCTGTATAGACCGAGTGTTACTGTACTGTTATCAAGGGATTAGGTCCCTGTACTGTGTGACTGTAAATTTTGTACAGACGGAATGTTTTCTGTACTGGTATCTAGGGTTGAGTCCCTAGTTTGAATAGATGTAAGTATTGTACATACTGTTCTGTACTGTTTATGTATGAATGCATGGAAAAATCTTTTGCATACAGACTGTCGCAGCTCATTGGACATTGTTTAATTACTGTATTGGCTTCCGCCAGGCCCTGTACTCTGTTTTACTGTATTACTGTTAAGCAGGCCTTCGGTAATCTCGGATTACTGGCCGGTTACGGTGCTAAACCCATAGGGCCGGGTTTGGGTCGTGACATACGGCTACATTTTTTGAGTACCCGTGCTTCATAGACCACTACATATTTTGTGGGTCAATCACACTTGACTGCGTAAAACTCTCACTAAAAAATTGGAGTTATGCTAGGGATACCAAATTTTCTACCAAACCTTTCAAAAGAAGTTTGTTAGTGTCCATAGCATTTTCTAAAAATTTAAAGCTTGTAAGTACGTTAATAAGATTGTTAGTGTCTCTAATATTATTACTATAAATAAAAATAAAATAGTGTTCACTCTCTACATAGATAAAAGTAAGTATAAGAATAAAAACCTACTACATCCATATGGTTAAAACGAAACTTAAAACATAAAACCTTTAACTTACAAGTTATATGCAACTGAATTATGGATAAATATGCAACTCAAAATATGCAACTGCACAGCCAAATATGCTAGAATATGCTAGAGATGTAGACTACCATAAGTTGATACCCCATCTTATGGGTAAATCATGATAATCAATAAATGATAAATTCGAAAGGCCATAATATACTAAGGCCAAGTTTGGCATCTACTAAATAATACAAAAAGTCAAAAAGTCACTGTCCTATTTAAGTCACTATCCTATTTAAGTCACATCATCTTATTTAAATCATATCACCTCTCTAACACATCACATCAAACCCAACCCAAACCCAACCCATATAAGCCAATAAGTCAAAAAGTACACTTTTTTAGAACATCCCAAACCAACCCTAAATGCATAACTAAATTATAAATTTCAAAAGTACTTGATATTTTTTTTTTAAATGAACAAATCGACAAAATTTACCACAGCACAACCACTAGTACTATTAAATACATGAAGGCTAGGGTTAGGGTTGGTGTTGACATCTCATTCTTTGGATTTTTCTCAAAATACCCCTATATAGTTACATGGGAAGTTATGCCCTAAATTCAGGATTGAACCCCCCCTTCAAATCTCTCAATTTTTTATTTTTCTAAATTCATTTTAATCTTCAGATTTTGAATTAAACCATGCAGTTTATAATCTTGTTTTTGTGAAATAAAATGATCTGCCATCACTTGTAGCATATATGTATATGAACCCATACATATTTAAATAGGAACACTAAACTAAGTACATATCAAAATCCAAATGGCAAAATCATCCATCAAGTAATCTAAATACCCTTTGCCCTTAAACAAGTTTAAAATCACATATTTTTCAATCACTAATCATCAACAATTCAAAAAGGGAATCATTCAAATCCTAACCCATCAACATAAAATTGTGAATGGTTAAAAAATAGAGAGCAGTATAGAGCTTTTAGTAGGAGGTTTTCTTTCTAACTATGAAGCATAGACGCCCAAGATTTCATGCCGTGGCGGTATCTAACACGGGGACACATACGGGACATGCGGGGTGGCATGTCCCTTTAATTTAATTTTTTTTTTTGCAGGGGACACGTCGGGGACACACGTGTCCAAATCTGGACACAGAGCAAAAGAGAAGAGTAAAGGAGAAGAGTAAAGGTCAAGAGACAAACCTGGACTTCGATCCAGTCGACTCGTTTGTCGACGACCTCCATGACTTCGACCACCGTAACCCGTTGACCTCCATCTAGTCGACTTCAAACACCGTAAGCCTCTCTGTCTCTCTCGTCTTCCCTCTCACTTGCGTCTCTCGCTCTCTCTCTTGCTCTCGCTGATTAATATGTATAATATATATATATATATATTAATTTATTTAATATTAATAAAAAAGACATCTTATATTTTATATAATATATATAAGATATAATATATACTTATACATATTAATCCAAAAAAAAAAGATAAAATAAAATAAAAAAATTAATAGAAATGCATTTATTTAAAAATAAAATAACTAACTTGGATTAAAATAAAAATATTTATAAAAATAAAATAAAATTTCCCTGTCCCCAGCCGTGTCCGTGTCCCCATTTTTTTTAAATTACCGTGTCCCCTGTCCGTGTCTGTATGCGTGTCCGTGTCCGTGCTTCATAGCTTTCTAAGAAAGAAGAGTAGAAAAACCTAGGTCTGGTGTTGCAATTAGGGTTACGAAAATGGAGATAGGATAGGATCTCCCGATGTCGTCTTCTTCCAGGTATTTGCTTCTCAAGCTTTCATCTCCATCTTTTTCGATTCTCAGAAACCAAAATCCCTCTCTCCCTCCTTCTCTCTCTCTCGACTTCGCAAAGTTAAGAGTAGGGTTACTTTTTTTTTCTTTTTTCTGTTTTTCATTTTTTATGAAAAATATATGTAACAAAATCGGTTTGGTTTCCCATAGTGTTGAATCTATTAGGGCTATTTTGGAATAGATTTTAGTTAGGGGTGGTTGCGGGTCAGTTGCGGCCACAAAACCTCCAATCCGTCATCCGTCCGCGTTCGCCAGATTGACGGATTAGAGAAAATCAATCCGCATCCATCCGCCAATCCGGCAAATATGGATTGAGCAGATTGGCGGATGGATGTGAATCGATTTGGCAGTTTAAAATTTTACAAAAACAAGTTAAATGATATTCTAACTCTGGTTATCTGCAAAATGCTATGTTGTGATTCATTTTTTTCCTCCAGAACAGAAAAACTCATTTCAACACTGAGAAAATAAAATTGAAAACCTAATCAACAATGCTAATAATTACAGCAGGAAATGTGGCACTATGCGAGAGAGAATCAGTAAGTACTAGTTCGAACTAAGATAGAATCCCAATTCATACTAAAAATAAGTATTGGACTACACTGAAAAAAACAAAAACAAAAAAAGAAATACAAATTGCAAAGAGAAAGAAAGAATTGTTAGTCATATATCTGCAACAAACCCAAAGAACAAAATAATAATTAATGATTTTAATAAACTAAACACTGGATTTTCAAAAGTCACATTTGTCTAAATCTTCACCAACACACTCACAGAATTCACATATAAACATCAAAAGATGTGCATTTCATAAAATCCCCCATTTGGTTGAGAACAAATAAATAAAAATAAATGTAGCTAACTCTAAATCACACAATGGTATGATAATCTCAGGATCAAGAATGTATACAAGTGAATGGAAGATTCAAAATCCCATCTTTTGAGCAGTTTACAAAGCAACCAAACAAAGAACCAAGACCCATTTGAGCAAATGAATACGAGAGAAGAGACTAACCTGAAGCTGTTAACTAGAGAGAGAATCACTACTCCCCATTGGACTTACAAATCTTAAAGCAAGAAATTCAACTCAATATTTAATGAATTAAAAAATAAATAACATAAACTATTGACCAACAACAACAAGGGATGGCTTCAAGAGTACTATCGATTTTATTAACGCAAATTGGGCATCCAGATTGTTAACAGTCAACAATAAAGCTGCTGAACTACTTCATGAGACCCCATATAACACACATAGTAAAATAAATGAAAACACCCAAAATATGAGGAATCAAGACCGTGCTGCTCACCGGAGGTCTCGGGAGCTTCTTCTTTTTCAGCAACAGCGGCCTTGCAGAGAATATCTCACCAACTCGATCGCAGATCGCCTTTTGGTCGTCGCTCGTTGTAGATCGTCGCTATCGGGAGCTTCTTCGTGTAGATCGTTGCTCGTGTAGATCGTTCGTCGCTCGCCGTAGATCGTGTAGAACGTCGCTTGTGTAGTCGGTAGATGCCGATGGCTAGGGTTTTGGGGAGAGACAGCGAGAGAGCAGCGTGTCTGTCGAAGAAGAATCAAGGATGGGTAGGTTAGGTTTGAGTCTGAGATCAAAAAAGGGGCTGAGGGGCTGAGGGGCTAAGGCGTTAAGGGGTTGTTTGGATGTACTAAATAAATGTAATTTATAATTTTTTAGAGTAAAAAATATAAGAAAAAAGATGATTGTTTAGAATAAATTTTTAATTTTTTATGAAAAAATATATATTAAAATATTTTATAAAATATAAAAGTTACCATTTTATCCCTAAATATATAATTGCTTACTGACAGTAATGGTACCGTCGTGCATACGGTTGGCAACAAGATGTATAGGACTAAATTGTCTATAGTGCTATTCTGCACATGGGGGCCCATCACGGCTCCCGTTTTAATAATCGGAACCGTTCAATGTGTAGAACTCGTCGAATACTATATTCTTATAAAAAATCACGTTGATCAGATATCGATAGCTACCTGATCGGATTAGTTTTTTGTCAAGCGTTACTTTGTGCATCATCCTTTTTTTATACAAAACTCATTTGATCATATAGTT